AGTACCTATTAAAAAAGCCAAACCTCTGAAAATAAACCACACGAAACCCAAAAAGCACAACAAAAACCAAGGACAAAGACCACCAAAATTTCCACAGCTGCTGTTTTTATCAAGATATATTAGCAAGTTTTATAAATCACTTTACCTAATATTTACTCTGAAGAAAACCTTACATTTTATACACATCACTGCTACAACCTTCACGAAAAGGCATTTGACACATCACGTTGATAACAGACCCAAAGAATGTATGAATGGCTTACAAGCTGTGGCATGATCATACCAGCACTAAGGTCCTAATGCTTATTGCGGTGTCTAGGTGATACTCAAGTCATTAACAGGAAACCCAAACTTCCCACACTGAAGCTTGAAGGAAATGGCAAGCTTTAGACGTGGTGCTACCCACGACAACTTTAATAACGTGCTAAGACCTTTGCTTTTCGTGACTCTTGTTCTCAGCACTTCATATAGTTCTCCCATTGCAACGAACCTCTACAATTTCATACTTATCCTCTTGATACCCCTTTCCAGAGGCTGAGTGTGATAAGCAGTTCTTGGTATTCCTGGTTTGTGGGTGGCAAATAGAATTATAAGAGGAAAAAAGAGAAAAACAAAAACTGTGGGAGGTGTTTAGTAGCTATCCTAACAACTTGGATGCATCTATAGGATTAACCAAGTTAAATCTCAAGTGCTTAAATTCCCTTTGCATCAATTCCTTGGCAGTTTGTGGTGGCAGCACCTTTTATTTTTACTGAGTATCTTATCACACTACATATTGTAATCACAAAAAATACAAGTTATATTTCCTGTGTATGCAAAAGTATTCACATGGGCCAAAAAAATTAAGAATCGAGTTGTCCTCTCTCCTTACCCTATCAGTAATACATAGAAAACAAAAGGAATATTATTAAAAGATGTACAATACAAACTTAAATCCCCAAATCACTTGTCATACTGATCACTCAAACAGCAACTTCCCCACAGCACTTCTCCCTCTCACACTTTCCAAGAGCTTTAAGCCCTGAAATATGGGTTATGAAACAGCACTGGGAGTAGCCTGCAGCCCCCAAGCATTCATTTTGCTAAGTCATGACTTATGCTGCAAGACTGGGCACACACACAAAACCACTCTGAGTATTGCATCAGATGTCATGTAGCAGTCAGTGTGCCAGAAGCAGCCTGCAACACCACATACCTGTATTTGCAGAAACCAATTCTTCCTCTGCCTTTGGGATCAAGGTGTCCTAACTGTAGGTTAAAGACAAACACAGAACACTCCCAACAAAAAGATGTAGGAGAAGAAAAAAAAAAAAATCAGCATCACTGACCTTTCTGCAGTGCTTGTCAGGAGGTTCAAGAAGAGGTAAGTATTAACTATCTCTTCAAATATCATTTGCCTACTTATCTCACATAGACAAATCTCATTTTGTCTACACTGCAGTTTAGAGACCACCAGCACAGGGTGTTATTTATCAAATGTTCTGTGGTGATATCTGATGTGGTTGATTTCAGCCCACAATAAGCAAAAGGAACTTCCTCTTCATGTGGACAGCTTCACGGAGAGACACTTACTATTTGTTTTCACTTTGCTAAATCCTTCCGATACTGACTCTGCATTCCATCCAGAGGAACAGTTGGCTCTTGCTTTTAACAAACGTGTTACCAGAGTGGTTAAGTCTAGCCCCCAGAAAGTATACTGCCACCATAGTCAATGCTGCACCCACATACAAACATGAACTTTTCCAGTATTACATACCACTTTAATCAGCTTGTGGTCCAGCCTTGATCACATAAAATGGCATTGCCAGTATTCAGCTAGCTTATATTCTGCTTAGAGTAGCCAAGGAAAGACACTTAAACCAGACATAAAGGAATGAAGGGTTAAAAGCTGCTATAAACCAAGAATGGCCAGATCCTACCCTCTCTACCCTGCAGGATGCACTCGGCTAATCCTGTTATAAATGTGCTCCTGGTTCTGTCAAACATAGGGGAAAAGATTGGTGGCTTCTACCAATAAATATAAGGCTGATTTTTTTTCCGTATCTCAAACTCACAGACTAGCTAACACTGGACACGGGGAAGAATCACATTTCATTTCTATGCTGAGCCAATATTAGGAATGAAAAATATTTTGAATTGCCACAAATATTGTAACTGAAAAGTGACAGGATCCTTTGGAGCCCCAACTGAACCTCAAGGTACACCCTAGTGATGTACGTAAGATGAAGTTGGGAGTTGGCTTGCCTACAGCTTGCATGGCTCTGTGTCACCCCAGACAGTTCTACCCATGGCTAGAGGAGTGTCTCTGCCTTTATTTCACTCTGTAGAATTGTCTGGCAGGCTCAGGAAAGACAGTCACTGTTAAAGAAAGCCAGGGGATAGGCTGAAGAAAGGGGAAACAGACCTAACACTGCCAGGCAGGCTTCCTCCTCCCAATTCCCTGCCTCCCACTGGCCAGTGTGGAAGTGGCCTCTCTTCTCATCATGCTCTCCCTCATTCAGGGAAGCATTTTTCCCCATCTGTTAGCTATTTGTTACTAAGGGGAGCCTTGTGATGATTAAGATAATCCAGAGGGAAAGCAGAAGTAAAGGGAAGGATTGTAACACCCTTCCTCATTCTGAAAAGGCACAGCCTGTTTTCACCTTCTCAGACATCCTGATCTATCAGGTATCACAGGCTGTAGTTAGTCAGTGAACGCTGAAAAGTAAAAGGATTTCTGTGGCTGATGTGCACCGAGTGACAAAACACATGAACTTCACACTGAAGAAACAGACATCTCTGTCCTCCTGGGCACAGTTTCTTTCCATTACTTTGGTGTATTTATCTGTTGTCATATAGGAAAACTGAGACAAAGTGGCTTAGGTGGCACGCCCTCCAGAGATGGTACAAGAGGTATTTCAAACTTGTCTTTAAAAGGAAACCAGACAACATGCCCTTCACTGTCACACTACAGTATAAACTCAGCAGTGGAAATGAGATGCAGTGCTCCAACGGGCACTACAGAAGGAAAGATACTTTGCTCTAATTACAATCTCTGTTCCAATATATTTATCATCCCATTATTAGACACACAGGGGGAAACATGTGAATGCCAATTTAAACTTACCACCATATTAAAAACATTGACAGAAAGCAAAAGTAGATCAGGAAGATCTCTGTGTTCCCTACCTTTGGAAGAAGAATTTTCTGTGTTTGAACTGGGGCAATATAGAAATGAATTGTAGGCTTTCCAAGCTAGAAGTGACATACTTTGTAGTTCTCAGTCTGTAGCTTAAAACGTCACAGTAAACTCCACAGCAGTAGGCAGTTTAGTACAAAACGCAAATTATTCTTAGAACCACAAATTCCCTTAAAAAGAAAACAATATCAGAGGTTTTGGCTGTGCTTCCAGGTTTATTACATGCATGCTCAGACCACTGGGCAGTACAAATTCAATCTGTGGCATATGAGCACAATCACATTTCTGCTGATTTTGCTATAGTACATACATAGCATTTAAGCCCTCTCTCTACCTGCCAAGGAAAGGTGAGCCCTGTGCAATTTCCATAAAGCTTCCTGGACTTTTTCAGCAAGTTTGGATGAGCAGCACAAGGATATACTAGTGCTTCACATTTTGCATTATGCAGCATCATGCCCCTGATCTGTTGTTTGGCACCTTAAAACCAGACCTTTTTGCTTGTGAATTCACAGCCTTGCAGTATGTGAAAAACAGTCAATGGATCCAGCTTCAACCTATACAAAATCTGCAGTTACAGCTGTGGGGTTTGTTGTGGGTTTTTTTAACCCACTATCACATTAATTCTTGATAGGATTTTTTTCATTACCATGTTAATGTAGCCTGCCTTATCCAGCACTGACTAAGGTGCATTTACCATTCCAAAGTGAAAAAGTTAATTGGAAAATACTCAAGAGAATTTTAGTTCTACATAGTGGAAATAACAATCCTACGAAGACCAACAGGAATTGGTCATAATTCTCAGTAGATAAGGAACCACATCAAGAATCAGCATTAATAACAATTAATATTTCTGCAATTGAAGATTCTATGTCCCTAGCTTTAAACAGGAAAAAGATTTACATTAAAATATATATATATATATATATATATATATATATATATATATACATACACACACACCATCCTCATTCCTTAACTGTTCAAATCAAACTCTTCCCAAAAGCAAGTGCTTTACTGTGATAAAGGGTAAGGGCAAGCATATTGGTTAAAAATCAGGGAGCACACTTAGGAGCTTTACCCGACCAAGAGATTTCTACCACATTCCGGGGCTTAAAGTAACACCTGGAATCCAATGTAAGATTTACTGCAACGTGCATACAACTTAATTTCTTCTTTTCTTGAATGTAACCACTCTTTAAACTCCTTTTTTGTCTTTATTTCCTATACGTTAGCTTACATAAAGCCGGCATCTACCACAAATACATTAACCCTATCTTCTGCTACAGAACACAAAGAAGTGTCAATGGCAACACCCAGACTGGTCACTGACAGAAAACAGTTGATATATTTTCTCAGAAAGGGTGTTAAAAATATGTGGATCTAACTCTAGAGAAAACAATTTCACAGCGTAAAATGTATCGTCTAAATCCGAATGACCAAAGCGTTATTTCAGGTAGGACAACAGTTAGGTAGACATAACCCCAAATTCCACGTACAATTACACAAATTGTGCATTCAGATGTGGGAACTGCATAGGCTGAGTTCCTATTAGCAATTACAATTTGGGTACAACTCTAGTATTTAGTGGACAGCTGACATTTTTAAGTGGACAAAGAGAGACTTGCCAAAAAAGGAAATTCATGGAATTAGCAAGATAACCTAAACAGAGAAAGAAAATCCAGCAATTTTTCCAGTAGACAAATCTTGCTACTGCAGGACAGGCCACTCACAGAAACCACAACACTCTGCCTCCCAAGCCTAGAAGAAATGAGAAACTGAATGGAATTAACCCTGGTGCTATTTTGGGAAAGGTGCAAATAACTATCTTCTTGTCTGATAGCACCTCTCCTTTCTCTTGCAGGTTCACATCACTTGCAGGAACTGCTCAAAGAGCCCACCTCCTACTGTTAGCAAAGGATTCAAGGATGAAATGGAAACAGCAGTTTCATCCCAATGAACTCTGAGAAAAAGGAGGACAGGTGTTTCCTTCCACAGGTCTTACAGATGTCCTGAAGCCTGCCTGATCTCTGAAACTGGTAATAAACTTGAACTGTTTTCTTTATTAGTTGCCTACAAAACTGTTACAGTATCCGTTACTTTAATATAGCACATCTGAAAGCAAAGAGAGAAACAGCAAACTCTAATGAAATGCAGAGTTTTGTTTTTACCTGGCATTGGCTCCTTTAAGGTCACAGAAGTGCGAGAGTAAAGTTTTCACTACATCATTGCAGACAACTTTAACTACATCAATGTGACTCAGCCTCTGTCGCAGCTGCTTGGCAATCTCCCAGAAGTCTTCAGATAGCAGCTGGTACAGCTGTCCTTCATCTCTGCTGAGTTGCCCATACCAGGACAGGATGTAATCTCTATAGCTGTAGTCAAACACTGTAAGGAGAAACAAAACAATAAATAGCAAAAACTGCACAAGGAGAAGGCACACCAAGATAGGAAAAACTTAATCCTCCACCCTTCTCCTCAAAAATTAAACTGGTAATAGGTTTCATATCTTCTTCTTTGGGTTTTAAATTCTTGCCAAAGAAAGTAAGGTTGGAGAAATCTGCACCTAACAAGTTATTGGAGGTCACTTTGCAAAGCAAAGCAAAGCCTGTAAGTGGATTTGCTCAGGCAGTCAGGTTACTAGCTACACACAAACCTCAAACTAATACCTGTCTCTCAACAGTGGATTTGGTTATATGAACTATCATATAATGTGACTGTGTCTAGGCTGTTGCAGACTGAAACCAGTCTTCTTTACACAGGAATTCAAGTCACCATTCCAAAGTCACAGTTAAAAAGGGAGGTGGCAAGATTTTTTCAAGAGACATTTACAATACTGACCAACACTGTAGAAAGTACATTATAGGATCAGAAGAGCTAGAGATAAGAGAGAACAAGTAGATTAGCAAGACAGCATGAATTTCAAAAATGATGAGGTATTCCTAACCATATCTGCAAGCAATAACCAAGATTACTGTAATTGTGAGTCCCATGGCAACACCATCTTCCACCATTCTGACTTTTCTTTTTGACAACATCTGTGTGCCTCCAGTTTTACTGACATTTCACTATAGCAGATGTCCCTGGAGGTCTGGGAGGGAGCAGGAGGTGTTTAGCGAGCCATGTTTAGCAGTTACAACAAGACAGGGAAAAAGCTGGGGTGGAAGGAGAAGTCAGTTTGCAGCTACCAGAGGTAACTGAACAAGGGGGAAAACAAGTCATGTCCCTGATAATCTGAGTAGCTGCTTTACCAGACATCCTGATTTCAGACTTTTTATATCAAAAGTACATATCATTTGTCAGTGTAAGCCCATGGTGCAAAGTAATCATAAAACTCCACTATTTCTTACTTTGCACTTTGATAGAAGTTGTTTGTTTGGCAGTTTAGTAAACTATAAAAAGCTCCCTGGCACTGCAACAGTGAACTAATAACATACTAACAGCAGAACAACTGCTGCTGAATACTTTTGCCTGAAGTACTTGCAGACCTCATCCAATATCACATTAAAAGCATTTCAAAAGAAAAGGCTAAAACTGATAAAAATTTCTAGTCGCTTCATAAATTAACTTCCTCAGGTTTATAAAGAAACAAGTCACTTCATTGAGTATGCTGAAATACAGAGTTAAAGCCTTGAAATAACTCAGCAAAAGGATTTTTAAATTATTTAAAAAAAAAACCATTTCAATAAATAAACAGAAGTTTTGATTCTTTTTTCTGATCCAGGAAAAAAAAAATATGCCAAGCCTTACTGCAGGATGAGAACTTCCAGTACTGAAACATATCCAATTTCATTACTTTTCTAAAACAGAGAGAGAAAACTCTCACCCACAAATGCTACAAAGTGATAAAGACAGTTATAAAAAGTAATGTTGTTCTTAATAAGCAAGCTGAGAAATAATCCCTTGATACACTGAAGAGCAACTGAGAACAGCATTTAAAAAACCTGAAGTTTATTACTTATCTCAAGTCTGTCATCACAATACACATTTTAAGTATTTTTACACAGCCACCCCCATGTCCTTCTGCAACCATGTTTTTCTTACAGCTTGGTTACTCTCTTCTGTGGCAATACCTGAAACGTTGTGGAAAGCCAATCACAGCATGGATTCTTCTTTTCATCTACCCTGTAAGAAATCCATTTCCCAAGCACATTCAAAACACACTGCATTGTGGTATCTGTTATCATCATCACTGGCAGATAATGACCTTTTAAGATTTTCTTACAGATGCTTTGCAAGGGTGCAACGTAGCATACGTATTCAGCATCTTTTGCCTAAGAAGCCAAGTCATAGTATACAGTGGTGGCTCCAATAGATATCTATTGGACAGAACTCTACAAAACAAGAGTAAAACTTGTATCTCGATCCCTTAGACTATATTCTCTTTCAGAACACATATCTATCCCATATCCCACCAACCCTTAATTTATAACCATATTTTTAGGTAACTCCCCTCCAAAATGAGCTCAGTTGCTAGGTCACTCCATAATCACCGTCACATTCAATTAAGTCTCTGTGCTTTGATAAAGCACAACATTCAAACATATAACAATGCTAACTAGTAAAGTATTATGAGAATACAACTCTTGCGACTTTACTACACTCACATTTGAAATACCCAAAGCAAGATCTATTACTGTGGGAAAACTCCTGCTTAGACTCAGCAAGGTGATGGTATGGTTCTTCATCTTCATGTATCAACATGAAAGAACCATGAAATCTAGTGGGAATATCAAACTAAAGATAAAAGATCACCAATCATCACCAAAAATTAAGCCACTCAAGTATGAAATACCTCACTTCTGTTTCTCTCCACCAGTCACACACATTCAACACCTTAAATGGATTAGCCCACTTTAAACCATATTTTCCTGCACTTACATTTTAAAACTCTCTTCCTTTACATACTTTCCATAGTTTCCTTGTCCCTTCTGAGTCTTGTAGCCCTTCCTGCATCACAGCAGTTTAACCATACTGTTCTCTATAAAATTCAAGGTAATTAAGAGCCTAAAATGAGCAATGAGACAGCTTTCAGGACTTTGTTTAAAAAAAAAAAAATCTAAAAAGGGTACAAGCCACAGACACTAACAGCAGTCTGTGTTGGGGTAAGACACTGCCTCATCCATATATATCATCCTGGACATGATGCACTTTGCTGCTTTAGCTTCATACCTACTGATGCAGCTACTGCCTCTTTCAGCACCCTAAAGAAATACAGAAAACAAATATAAGAATTTTACAGAGCGCAGCTTGCTTCCTTCAGAGGAGAAATCTGCTCATGCATCTCCTCTCATTATTTTTACACTGAACACTCTCTAAAACATTGAAAACAACTGATCAGAAGACAAGAAAGGAGTAAAAAGAAAAGTAGAACACACTTTCAGGATAATACCTTACTACACTAACTCAGCCACTGCAAACATGAATTCCTTCTGATCAAATCAGATGCAGTGACAGCAATGAGTCTGGCACAAAACTGTTGAAACTTCTACTGGGTTTTCTAAATTAATTCAGAAGATCCAAGAAACATCATTCCCACATGAAAGTGAAGTTGAGCCTCTTCAATTACTCTTTTTAAAGACTGTAAACTAAAAAGAGTGTTGGGAGTAGAGAGCTGAAAGCTTGTGTGCAGGTTAGTGAGGAAAACCCTCTAGACCTTCTTACTTCACTCCTAACCCCATACAGGTCTACAGATAACTACTATCCCTTCTTCTTCCACATTTATTCATTCATTCATACATTCAGAGGTTGAGCAGCAAAACAAGAGCCAGTAGATCAGACTGGCTTCAGATCTGCAATTTGCAGAGCTTCACATTAGACAGCTTTTATACTGCTAAGATTCATTACCCAACTTTATGAAAAGTAACTTAAGAGCAGCAAGGACTAAATGCCTACCCAGTTTCTCAAAGCACCATTAAAAAACAGATCAGAAATATTCTCCCTATGCAAATGCAGAGACCAACTTCCAAGTTTCAAACGAGAAGTAAATATCCTTTCCTGAAAGCACTGGAGAGACCAGAACCATTCCATTAAGTTACGGTCAAATCCAAAACTCTCCTGTGACTGTATCAACAACAGAAAAGAAGGTATAGCTACAACATTCGCTTGAGCTATTCTACAACAGCAAGGACTGCAATCTGTAAAATAGAAATGCAACATTAATGTGAACTGTGTTAAAATCCTGCACCAGGAAACCATCATCAAACAGCCAAGAAGCATTATTATAATGCTGTGCTACTACAACATTAGATTTAACATGCATAATATGGTTATCATAAGCTATACTTAAAGAAAAGTACCTTCAATAAACATTTAACAAAAAAGATGACATACCACTGTTAAGTACCCAGCAAAGAACTTTTCTATCGAAGTAAATGTTAAATGCTTACTTGTTATAGATACTACTTTTCCTCCCTGACAAAAGCCAATTCAGTCAAAAAAAAAGCACCTTATCTTCATCTTCAAAAATCAAACTAAAATATTAAAGCTCATATGTTGAAGTCTGTAAAAATTACTAATAAATACTCTGAACATGCAACTCTATCACTTCAAGACATTAATTTTTAAATTTAAAGAAATAAAGGCCATTATTCACTTACTGTATTTCAGACTTTATTATGTTTTAGCTATACAATCCAAATTAAGGTCATGAGGCTTTATTAACATTATCTCTACTTGTTGATGTTTCTCATGCCCACAGATTCAATATTTAGACCATGGTGTTAAATGCTGGCAAAATGCTGTATAAACGCCCAGACTTCAGTGACTGAGAACCAGCCCCAGTCACTAGCAATAGCGATTTACAGATTTCAGTTCTCTTGTTAAAGTTTGTGTTTGAAAAAACACTAGCATTTCTTGGTTTACTTGCATTTTACAACATTATTCAAACTCTATGAAACTGGCATGTTTAATAGATTAAATCATGCACAGATGGATAGCCCTGGTGCAAAAGAGATGATACCCCAACAGTCTCCCATTCACACTGTTTGGTTTCTTTTTATTGAAATTTTCTTGACATTTGTTTCTTTAATAATTATTATGAATGTGCAGAAAAAAAACCCATGAGAAGTTCCAAATATATAAACAATGGAGGAAAAAAAACCTGTTAAGAAAATCTAGCAAATGCATTAAAAAAAACCCAGACAAATTTCTTTTTAAAGAGTTTCACCCATGTATCCTTTGCCAAGAGTTCCTAGCTCCAAGTGTTTGAATCCCAGTAGCAGAGAGAACATGAATTCAAATTAAGTCTTGCTCATATTTTGGACCCAGATAACTCCTTTTTTTGAGAGTTGTGGGAAAAAAAAAAAAAAAGAATACAGCTTTTCAAATAGAGTGGCAGAAGCTACTGCAAATTTTTTTTTCTAAATGTCAATCTGTGAATCCTAAATTGAGAAATGAGAGAGATTGAGGGAAAACTTATGTAAGGGGAAGTCCTGCCTTCTATCCCTAACAGAGTTCTTCTACAGGGTCACCAACAACACAAGGCAAGATCTGATCCATGAGTACAATTTAATTAAATTCCCAAAAGTATTTCCAACAAGGCCACCTCAACATAAGGTTAAAGGAAGATAAGCCATTATGCAAAAAGAAATGGCTCTCTGATGTGAAATATTTTAAAAGCTAAGAAACACAGGATATGAATGGTCAATTTTCACAGCAGCAGAATTTCACAAGAAGAGTTCTGCTGGGATTTGTGCTATGGCCTATGCCATTTTACTTACTCATAAATGATCTAGTAAAGCAGGTAAGTAATATGAAGACCAATTTTCCTGGCACTATTAAAGCAGTAGAGACAAAGACTGACTGTGAAGAATAACAAAAAGACCACAGGATATGGGGTCATAAAAACGGGAGATGAAATTCAGTTTCTGGGAGGCCAGCTACACACACGGCATATAAATCTACTGACAGCTACACCCTGCAGCCAAAATGGTACACAACAGCGGGACGAGTCCCACCAAGCATAGTCTCTTGAGACATGTTCCTCAACTACCTTTTAGGAACTGTAGTTACTATATCTGGTAACTACATGGTTACCAGACAAGCAACAGGAAGCACTAAAAGACTAAAAGTATTTGTAAAAGTGGGCCATCTTTTTCTTTGTGTTAAGATAAATGAAGGATAAGCAACAATCAAATCAATCTATTAAGAAAAAGCATGAAAAATACGGAAAAAATGCATTTCAGTGCTAGTCACTCAAGTACTACTAGCTAGAAAAGGGACTCAGAGGTTTAAAACTAAAAGGCCTTTCTGCCATATTCAACAAGGAAAATCTTTTTGTAACATTACATTCATTCTGATTTTGCGCACTTCAATTTCCTAAAACGCACCACACAGTAGCAGGATTAATTCGCATCTTTCTCTCACCTCGTATCTACAGTTTATTCACTCTGAAGTACCACCCTTTTACACCACTCTGTTGTCAATGGGAGATAGGAAAGAAGTTTAGCACTGAGCTGTAAACCAACATGAACAGAAAGTCCTTCTTGGGGGCGCTTAGTGACCAACACTGTAGACAGACAATTCCCAACAACTCTATTACACTGGCTTGGACAGGATGAGAAGCTATCCAAGACACAGGAAACTATTATCAGCCAATGGCCACCACAGGAAAACTATCTAAGCACCATACTGTTTTTAAGTTCACTGAAATAAGACTGACATTTAAAAGGGAAACATGCATGTCCCCTTCAATTAAAACTAAGGATGATCACTGATATCCATCCTTTCAACTACATCAACAGACTATGATGAGAACATCAGGAAAAATGCAATAAAGCACATGACCAACACACCACAGAACCTCAGGGAACAGTGCGGTAATGGAGAACCACTCTAAACCCAGAGAGAAAAAGCCACACAGACTGGCTGTTAACACCTGCAAAAGCATGGCATGACTTAACAGTCAACAGGCAATTCTTGAGGGGTGCAAGATAGTTAACAACTAACAAACCCCGGCAAACTTCACTACACAGATGATGAAAAACAGGTGAAGAAGTCAGAATTAACCAAATGGCTCTGTATAACCAGAAACAGCATTTCTATAATTAAGTGATGTTGGCACCTCCAAAAATGTTAATCCTTGCATCCCTAAGGTAAAGAGATGCAAAATCTGATTTAAAAAACCACTGTGAAACGCCATCAACTGTGATAGTCTGACAACACCTCCTCAAAACCTCAAGTGGCAGCATGAATCTGAACTCATCCACAAGATTAAAATCTCAGAAGAACCAGAAGACTCCTAAGTAAATGAATGAGACTTTTTAAGCATTTTGTGGAACAGTTAGATCTAGACAGCAAGAAGTTGGCAAAAATTCCTGGGATTTACAAATACTTTAATCCTCATCAGTGTAAGACTGATTATCATTTGAGTATGGCACTAATGAAATAGAAATAGAGACAGTATTTTTTGTATCATTAAAGTTTTATTTAGCCATGAACTTGTAAAAAAAGCATTCACAATACCCAGACAACTACAAATTTTGAAACTGTCACAGGACAAGGAATGTGTCCTGTCTGTTTTCAGACAGACTTATCACTTTAGTCTTAATATTTCTTTTTGGGATTCATTCAGTATCTCAAACTTAAGTTGACTCAAACACCTTCCAAAACTAAAAAGCTTGCTTAAGTCTACACATGCTAGAGTGAAAAGTACAGTCTCATCCTTGTCAAACTTCACAATGGAGATGTTGGCTTCGTTAGTCACTTAGGCTTGGAAGAAATACAAACAAATCTAACAAGTTTGCTCTCCAAAATTCAGAGTGAGAATGGAGAATAAAAGCTACTCTGAAAAATAGCTGAAAGGCAAGTAAGCTGTCACAACAGAAGCTCCTCAACTCTGAAAAATGAATCACTTAAATATTGGTAACTTTCTTCCAGCCTTATTGAGTAAGTATGGACTTACACATCCAACTAAGTGATCTGCGGGATAAATACCTTAGATGAAGACAGCTCCCATATTTTTTACAGACACATCAGTAACCAAGTGCAAGTAACAGGAGGGAAGTGTAACTCAACTATCCTTCCCCCAGTATTCCACAATACCATTTGTCTGTCTCCAGATAACTCCACTACCTCTGACTGTGCCAATGATATCAAGGCTTTATTTTAGACTCCAGTGCAGGTTATCCAAAACATAAAGTACACATGTGAGAATACAGCAAATAACCTGTTATGTTTGTTTTATACATGTAATGTTTAGACTTCACTACCCTTTTCACGTCATTAGAAATCCTATAATCTGACCGATTCCACATGAAAATGGTTCTTAAAACCAAATTATGATATAACAGTTCACAGAAACATGATATAGTAAAGTATTCTAATTTTATATTTTATCTACATATCCTGGTAAGAGCTATTCATAAATAATAAACATTAAATAAAACTTAAAAAAACATTACACATCCCAAGAAGTTTTCCTAAGACAACCAAACTGTTTAAAGCAGTGTTAATTTTAAAACATATTCTCCAGATGTGAAAAAAGGGAAAAAAACAGTACTGCAAAGAAATCTTAAAGGAAAAAATATTCACAATGTTCACAATTTACAGTCTAAAGCCCAGTGACTGCACTGGTGATCCACAGATTTCATAGACTGTATCAGCCGAAAACACAAACAATGATTTTTAGATTCAGTTTTCATTACAAGAAGTGCAGTAAGTGGAAAAACTGTTTGTAAGAGTCTACAGGATTTATCATTTTGGGACAACCCAATCAAGAATCTTTGAAATATTTTGGCTTATGCACAACTATTAAGGAGTATATTTTAATATATTTCTGTAAAAAAACAGCCACTAAAATGACAAGATATTAGTTAAACTGCAAAAACACAACACATTACTTACTACAGTAGAGCTCTTGTGAGGACCAAAACCGTGCACTTTTATCTTGCATCAAGGAATAAACCAAGGTTATATTCCAAAACCCTGGAATATTATGCTAAGAGCTAAGAGGACAAGAGATATTCAGAGTGTAATGCTTCTTTGCCCAAGTTAAGACTCACCTTCTTTCAGTGCTTTATCCATGTTGTGAGAAATGACGACTCTCCTTGGCTGGACTGAATCATGGGAACTTCCAGACCAAATATTCTGAAATTCGAAGAGATTCATCGTAAGAAAAAGGAATAAACCAAAAATGACAGAAGAAATAAAACTGGAATTCAAGGTGATAGTACTGTATAATTTGGGTTTTATACAAATATTGTCACCTCATATGATTAAAACAGATGAGTGTCAGTTGTCTATGAGATTATTATACATCATTTGTTAACCACACATTCATGCCCACTGTTGTGTATTGTACACTGTACAACTTGCCAAATCATCTTAAGGTTGGGTTTTTTTGGTAGAAAGGAGCTGTATCCATTTGCAATTCAATGCACTGAGAATAGGACATGCATTTAATACAACAACTGGAACTCTTCTATTCAGTCTTTTCACAGCTTTAAGATCTCCAAGAGATAGGTCAATAGCAAATATAAAACCTTTACAGCCTACTGTCACTATGTCATTTAGGCTCATAAACCACTTTTAAAATAAAAGCAAAGCACTTAAATCTCCTACAGTAATTTTGCTTCACATTCTGTTGGGTTTCTTTCAAAGACACTTCTGGCTGCTGCATTTTAAGCTGATGTACTATACATTTGTCTATTTTGGAGTATTAGCTCTTACAGTGTCCAAACAGGTGGGCGGGCAGAGAAACATATTTAGGGTGCAGACAAAAAGCAGTGATTCATGCCGTCTTTATATAGAAAGGAGCTTATTTCAAATCAGAAATAGAAATTGTTCCCACTGCTACTCAGCTTACTTCACTCCCCTTGATGGGAGCTCAGACTCTCCTCGATGAGGAGACAGTGCATCAAAAACATCACAATCCCTCCAACATTCACCAAACAGAGAAGAAAGAAAGCAGTATAAACTTTGAGAGGGGGGTAAATAAAAACACTCTTTAATGTTTTTAAAAGTAGTATGCCATTATTTCAGCCAATCTGCAGGCTAATAGTGTATTTTGGTTAAGATATTTTCCTTCTACTGTAGATACACACACGTAGAGCGTAGTATAAAGCACGTCTTACGTGACACAGATGAAGCAGTCTAAGCACTACCCCAACAGCAAAATAAAGCTGTTTTGACTCTCTCACACCTAACACATAGCATTTCTACAGATACTTTCCAGGCCTTGAGTGTGCTCCTTTCACCCACAGTTAATTTGTTCCAGCTTTTGGATGAGTGCAGCAACACTCCCAGGCACTACTCTGAAACCACAGCTGTGGTCTCCAGCCATCATCTTCCCCCTCTGACAAAACTATTAATGGCAAGAGCAGCAAGATTTCAGAATGTGTGCCTTCATTTGCAGCCCCTCTTACTATCAAAACTATAGTTAAGGAGGGGTAAGGACAGAGTATTATCTGATTAGTGCAGCACTACATATTTTCATTGGCCCCTTTTACCCGAACAGGATGCTGGTAAAAGCTTAAGCCACACCCACCTAAATGGCCGCAGAAAGTATTTTGGCTGTTTGGAAGAGCACCTAATAACAATATTTGTAAGGCTTCAATACATCGCCTCAGAATGCTAATGCTGTGCTTCGTCCACACAAAGCTGTGCTAATGCTAGCCACACAATTACTTCAGGATTTTTCCACTTTATTTGCAGCAGGAAATAGGATGATTCATAACCACTCCAATTTAAAAAGAGAAGAGACAGACTCACAGAGACATTAAATATCCCAACTAGATTTGAGGAGGGGAAAGGGATTCAGAAAGCCATATTAAGCAAAGTTGCTCAGGTACTTCTGTGAAGAAAGAGCTCCTAAACAAAAGGCCACAATCCTGACTGAAGCTCTGTGCTCAAACATAGTCCATCTTCTGTAACACTCACGCTAGCTTGGGTATCCTACAGGACTAATCCTTCTGCTAAACTGAGTCATACCTGCATAGAGATCGGTAACCTCAAGCCCGTAACTTAGTTCTCACTTGCAACAGTTCTCATTTGTACATAGTTTGCAGGAAGTGTTTTTTACAGCCTGAAGCATCAGTAAGTGTTCTCACGAAGTGCTAGCCAAATTTCAAACCTAGTTTAAACACAAGCTGAGATAAGAAAACTATAAATGCTGAATTCTTACTTTTGCCTTCCTACCTGCCTCAGTTTTGGACTTATCTACAGTAGAGGGAATAAAAAAAAAAAAAAAAAGAAAGGGGGGTGGGGGGAATTCAGAGGAGATGCGTGGTTGCAAGTAGCTTGCTCCACATCACCACATTAAGATCCAATCTACACAGTTCCAGAAAGCAGGAAATGATCCTTCCATGTTTCAATCTTGAACACTCAAGTTAACAAGGCAGACTATTACTGCCTCAATGAAATGCTGCTTCTTGGAGAAAAAGATATAAACTTACATTTCAGATTGCAAGAATATGTTTAATTGCGAGTGTCCTCTAAGGTTGGTGTGTTGGACTCCTAAAACGCACCAGCTTTTAATTTTTTTTAATAAATAAATAAATAAATAAATCCATGTTTAGCACAGAGAAGGTCAAGGCAATCAAGATCAAGAAGTATTTAAGAGGTAAGAAGTGAATACCACCACTACCGATGGTGATTTTGCTGCTGCACAAATGTAGCCACTGAAGGGCAAAGGAAGATGCACGGTATGTTGGATTTGGATAAATTTTCCATACTCATACAGGTATTGCATACATGATGAACAATTGAGCAAAAAGCAATGCACAAGAAACAAACCTCACTGAAAAACAAGGTTTCAATTTTGTTTAAAAACAAATTTTCAAGAACAGATGAGAATCTAACATTTGAATAAATAAGAATGTTTAAATGCGTTGGAATCTGTTGGCTGGGTTAGTTGAGGCTTAAAAAAACAGGGGAGATCTTATTGCTGTCTCCAACTACTGAGTAAGAGGGTACAGAGAGGAGGGAGCCAGACTTTTTACAGATGCAGAGGACAAGGGGCAAGGTTGTAACACAGGAAATTCCCACCACTTACAAGGCAAAACTCTTTTAATTATGAGGCTGGTCAAATACCAGAATGGGAGTGCTGAGAGGCTATGGAGTCTCCATCCTTAGAGATATTCAAAACTCGACAGGACAAAGCCTGAGCAACCTTACCTAGCTGGACCCGCTCTGAGCAGGAGGGTGGACTAGATGACCTCCAGACATTGCTTGCAACTGAACTATTCTGTGATTCTTATGATCCTTCCGAAAACCGTGAATTTAATTTAGTGACTGATAACAGATCAGATCTGAAGTTGCTGTCTCTAAAGCAGCTGCTCAAACTCCTTTTTCCTTTCAGTCTCACAAGCTCGCATTTAGCAGAATCAAGTCTTGTTAGCTCAGATTTGCTTTTAAAAAATTCTGTTTCTGTGACAATAATGATGCATTAACTGAAAAAAAAAAACCTAAAAAGCTTAACAGACACCACTGAGTTGCCTGACATATAGCAACAAACACCATAAAATCAACGGGAACAACATAGTAACACAGGTTTACCAGCACCTGTGGTAACAGAAGGATTTCAGAAAATTAATGATCCAAACCCAGCTCTAACAGCTGAGAGAATGAAAAATCCAGATTTCAGTAGACGATCTTCTACCCACCCCTGCCTCAAGTCAGATGGAGGATGTATGCAGAGAACAGGTTCAGATAGAAAGCCTAGACTTAAATGTTTTCACATTTTTCTTCATGTCACTCATCTAAAGGAAAATGGTGCTACATTTCATGAAACAGTTGGCATAACCCTGACTGAGCCAAAGATGTTCGTAAATGGATTTAACACAGCTCAATGCTCTAGCTTCGATGCTGGTTTATACTGATTAAAACCTGGTGTGTTCCCTTTAGTCCTGACTTGCACAATCACAGCCCAAAAAACGGGCTCTATTCCACAGAGCTTATTGTTGAAGAATGGCAGAAACCAGACTGAAACTTAAGTTGACAAAATGACTTTAAGGGGTAGGGGTGGAGCACATCTGGAAAGTTCATGCAAAGAATGAGGTTGCTAACAACAGGGAGGCCTGCTTCCTGAAACAGTTCAAGTGTTCCCCAATTCTGACTTTGTTTACAGGCTGAAAAAAAAAAGGATGTGTGCATTTCCTGGAGACTTCTGAATAATACTCACTGTTTGATGCTTTTGAGAAAAATTTAAGACGAAAACAAGAGTCTGAAAGGGCCAGGAAAAAAGCCCAAGGTTGGCATTGAGCCTGAAGTTTTTTCTTAGGTTCATCTATAGATGCAAAAAGTTAATATTATTTATAGGTTTAAACAATTTAAGTAATTTAAAATTAGTTTTGAAGAAAACAATAGATGTTACATAATACTGAATTAAGAGGTGTTTTGTCAACTACCCTGAATAAATGGCAAAGCAGAGAACACAGGAGTACCTTCCACTATCAAGAAATCCATCTGCAACACTCAAGTCATCAAATGCAATTCTTAAAACACAACAGCAGATAGCCAGGCACATGCTAGAGGCTTGCCACACACAGAATTACTCTGCCATGGAATTAAAGCCAGAAGCAGAGAAAAATTAACAATTATTTCTATTACACTAACTCAATTACAACAAAACTAGAACAGAGCCCAGGACAGATCTTACAATATAAATGGGCATTGTGCATGAGACACCCAGTTTAATCACTGATGTAAAAGGCAAAGACTATCATCTCATTCAGCATACAAGAACTACCCAGTTACTCATAGCTACTTGCTCCACCCACTGCTGCTCTATTAACTTTATTCTTTTTGTTGTAAAACATATATTAACATGAGACTGGACTTTGATGATAGAAAGTCACAGCTTCAAATAATACTTAACTGAATTCTCCATAAATTCAGCTTTAACTGATCTGGATAGATGTTTTCTTACAGTAGTAAATATTACTTCAACTTACGATGCAAAAATAAATATTCACAAGAGTTCACATTTTTAATTAATACCTATAGTTCTATTTTAGATTACAAAGCAAGTACGTATGTGTCACATTAAGCATTAATCTACATATATTAAGGAATACTATAACTACCAATTTAAAAATCAACATACTTAAAGCATATTAATCCTATTATGTTAAGCATCATTATCTC